CAGAATCAGTGAAACCCATTGGACCCGAACTAGTTAGAAAAAAATTAGCTTCAGAAAAGATGCTGTCGACTTTGGTCACGAAGAAAAAATGCTCCGCACACTCAGAGAGTTGCTCGGATGCTGTCCAGAGAAGCACGTAAAGCGGACTGTCCCACCCCCGTACCAGTGCTTTGGATTGGCAAAGCAAGGGCAGTGTTCCTACAGTTGAAGAACATATGGAACTCAAAACAACTTTCTGCAAACCGATATCAAAGTTATAATCTTTCATACGAACGTTAAGACAGTTCTACTGTACGGAGCTGAAACTTGGAAAACCATTACAACCATCATCAAAGAAGTGCATCACGAAGCAAGCGCTAACTTGGGATCCTGAAGAGAAAAAATAAGGAGGAAGACCAACAAAAACACTGTTTGGGGAGTCGGAAACAGATATGAAAATGATGAATGGCAACTGGAACGAACTGTAAATGATTGTCCAGGACAGAATTCTATGGAGACTGCTGGTGGGCTGCCTATGCTTCTCTACGATGGCTAACAGGCGTATGTAATTATGTACGAGGATACTTCTTTTTATATCTTGTGGCCGAGTGGATGCCTTGCTAATGTGTGACGCGGTAAGACCGCCAATTACAGAGCAGCGAATTGTCGATTGGAACAGTGACACAAAACCCGTACGAGCAGACTAGAGTGCTAACTGGTCCTGCGATCTGCCTAGCCCAAGCCAGTTAAGCCCAAAACACCAATAACAGCCTCAGTGGTATGAATCATTATTTACAAACACACAGGGTTTTTATACAAACCAAAGTAATGAATAAACTGATTATAACTCAAGAATCGTATGATAATAAATCAAGGTCAAAATAAAGCTAATGATAAGAGAAATATGAATAGTTCCGTTACGTAATAATTGTACAATAGGAAATAGGCATATTACATTGATCCATAAATAGACCTAGAAGTTACCATTCGTAATTCACTGGGGGATATAACACTTCTTCATGCATTCGATTATAAAGAGACGATAATGAAAACGAGAGACAACCAAATTCAACATGAAGTTGGCACACGATTGATCTTACCCTGATTAAGGTGATTCATCGCATATATGTAAAGGGACCATGTAAAACAACTAATCGGATTAATGATAATTGTAGATAAAAAAGCAGGTAGAGGAAGCTCACTAGGTTAGCATGTGAATAATTGACAAGGATAATTATGTGTGCTGAATTACGTGAAATATTGGAATAATCTAACTGTCCAAAAGCCAGAATAAATGAAGTTCGGGTCGTCACTTGTTGATAACATGTCACATATGTCTAACTCTGATACAACACGATATTCCCAGTCACACAGTGGCAACAATTCGACAAAATATTTAGGGTAGCCCGGTCGGGCAACGGCGATAATCCAAACCAAATGCAGATTAAAGGAATTTCATTTTAGACATTCATATGCAAACAAATACGGTATACGCGAATACACGATTGTAGTTTCTGCCTATTGCTAAGCAAAAGGCAACTGGTCATTTTATCTTAGACAAAGAATGTATCAAATGCAGGCGAATAGATAGGTTGACCAACTAAACCATAGATAACGATATACGTACGTACAAAAACATCGAGATAGGAGAAGCTTACAATTAACATGTGAATACTTAGCATGGGAGAATATGAGTGTACAAAATGAATTCACTTTGGCACTAAAAGAAGTCTATACTAGTATATCGCTATACAACGAATATCTCTTAAGCCAGGCAGCGATATAACACTGGCAACTGAATTGAATACGTGGTATGATCAAGAATTACATTCTGCCCTCACACACCAATCAAACTAAGCTAACAAACAAGGCAACAGCTAAATGATTGGGACAGAATATTCTCAATCGTCCATAATACATGCGACAAATATATATACAATAATCAAAGTTTCGAAGATGCTTTTGGCAATATACAGGACGAAGCTACTATACGTTGACCACTAGTGATTCCCATAGAATTATAAGCGTTATGCACAATATATATGCAAATAAATGTTTAGAATTAAATGGAGATAATTCGATCACTAAACACTTTGCTCGTGACTAGCTTTTATCAGCCGAATTTAGGATCTGACCTTGGCATGACTTAATACTTATCTTGGTATTACACAGTGTCAGTTCAATACATCAATTAAGCAAAGTGATGAAGAAATGGACATAGATTGATATATTAGAACAGGATCAGTCTGACATATTATTAACATATATTTATACATAAATCAGGTATCAAACCTCTTCACTAATCGTAGTTTTGTTTCAGTGACTAAGCTATGCTCAATTAAGCCCAAACAACAAAATATTGTCTACCTCATGAATCTATTTGATGGATACAAATGTACCCAACATTATCATATTTAGTATACGTAGAATTATGTAGACAACCTTACCGCATTCTTAATTGTCATTCATTTCTTGTAAATTACTTCCTGATGAATTTTGGTTCTCCCTTACTGTTGGTTCTTTTATTTTCACTTTTTTGTGAAAGTTGATGCTTTGGTGCATAAAATGTTTTGAAGTAAATCGAAAAGCTGATCATCTTTGAATTCTAAATTCATACGAATGTACTAGTCCCGAACATTCTTCATATTCTAACCAATGAACTGGTTTGAATAACCGTTTTTCTTAGGGAACCAATTTATTTCCTAAAACAATCCATGTTACAAGAACTAGTCCCGTTTCTTGCAATAATGGTACAGAAAAATAAATTTCCTAATGTATTTATCAAGCTTACTTTTATCTATTTTTTAGTAGGAGTCTTCCTCCCAAAAAATAAACTGATGAAAGTTTTCTGCATTGACACTTTTTTTTACAACAAATAAGTGATGGATAATTAAACCAATGCTAATTCAAAGTCGATTATGGAAGGAATTATACTACTAAGCTGGATAATCCATACCAGTATTCAGTAATAACCTAGGTGGGCGAATAAAATAATTTTCACTTAATTGAAATATGTGCATTAATTTATAATAACCAGTATAGTGAATAAGAACACCAGTGAGGACAATCGAATGTATTTGAACTCAAAATTACAGAACGTCTTAGTAAAATCTGAGAATCATTCAGTAAATACTTAATTTGCAAAATGTCAATCAATTGTCTCAAACTTGACTGTCCTTTTTGTAAATATCAGCCAGTCGTCTTAGATTTTATTGTTTCTGCATTTTCACGCCAACTGCTTTCTGTTACCATCCTTTCCTTCTCAGTCTTCTACTGAAATACATTTTATTTCTGACTATCACTGTGTACTACTTATATGGATATAAGTAGCTCACACCACACCAGTAACGACGTTGGTCAATGTATTATCTGTTGGAGGGTGCAGGGAACCAACATGATTTCCAAACTGTTTACACGGATTTTATTAATACCTTACTCGAGAATTCATGGGAACGAGGAAGTGCTGGATAAGCTAACTAAAAATATGCTTTAGAAATCCTTAGGAGTCAAGCGCAGATAATATAAAAGAAAGCATTCAGAATGTGAATGGAAACAAGGTTTTCATACTATTCGAATCATAATCACCGTTGTTAGCGAAAATTGAAATGAAAATGTAACTTCAAGTTGTAAGCATCTAGTTGTGCCAAAATCAGAACACGGTTGGACAGGAATGTGATTATATTCCAAATAAACAGGTTGGATGGAAGTAGGAGTCACAATAAGAAAAACGTAAGTATCTTTATCGTTTTTACATGAGAATATTCTGGAGTCTTCGCCAAGTGTCCATTAGCGCTGATTGGATAAGAAATAGACAATTAGCGTGCACCAACATAGTCCTGTACGGAACGTGCTTAATCCAATTTATATCCGCGCTAACACTAGTGATTCAACAAGACTGGTATGATATTCGGTTTAATCCAATCACAAGTTTGCTACTGTTTGACCCGAGTAATTACACAATAGTAAGAAAACTAAGAATAAGAAACATTATGCCAAAAGCCAAACAATAATGTACATAAATCATGAGAATATATATGACTTTACTAACCCAGACAGTGATATGCAGGGCGTGACATTAGTCGGATCAATAATTTAATTACAATAACTTGTCCACACTTGCATTTCCCGCACAGACCCGTCTGACTGCGTTAATATGTAATATGTTTGAAGGCGTCTATTTTTTTAAGGACTACAAAGAATGAGTAAAATCCAAATAGTATGTAATTCGGTTCTACATGTGTCGAAGTCATTGAAATACAGTTAGAATTGACTTGAACTGAAATGCAAACTCTTCTATCTTGATACAGTTGAATAGCCAAGGGATATATGGTTTAGACTGCCATCAATATTTAGAATATGAAACTATACTGTAAAATGTACAACCGAATTTCATAAAATATAGCAAAGCTCATATAAACTGTATGAAACTAAGGGGATGGTAAATTTTATCGATGAACTTGTTCCGTAGAAATGATTTTTCAATTCTAGATGTTGAAAAATCTCGAAACTTCTTTTATAGCTTAGGATTAATAAGGTATATCTCAGCTGCAAGATACAACTACTAGCTAATACCGACGTCGACAAGTAAATCTGAAAACATATCAGTTCAAGAAATTTAAATATTTAGTGGAAAATCAACTGAATTATTCCCGTCAACTAAGCGCTCGCGATATACTGCAGTAGACTTGTTTAGGTTATAGTTTAATAAGATACACATTGTCGCCTGACGTTTAACCATAAGTTTATATTTGAAAATCTACACAACAACTTTCATACGTGTAAATACTGTCACAGTGATATTGTAAACTGATAACCCTTCAGGTTTGGTTGTGTAAAATGCTCTATAGATAGGTGGAGTCCAAGTAAACACATAAAAAAATGGAGGCTGAGTTTCAAACAGATATTTGTACTGGATCACATATTATTAGGTGATCTTGAAAGTGTACACAGTCAAGATTACGAGGCAAACATTTAAATAGGTGATATTTCGTCTTAGAGATATACTGAACAAATGCACAATTCATAGAGACGAATTTTATTTCAAAGGTTTTAATGTTGCATTACAAAAAGCCTGAGGATAGAACGTGAATATTTTTTGAATGTCGCAAAATATCTGAATACATGATTATAAGCATTTGAATATTCAGAAATGGATTGAATCAAATCACTTTAAGACATCATCAGCTGAATGATCATGCAGCATTTTCGATCATCAGTATCATACAGTCGAAGAGTGATTGATTCAGTTTTTGAAAACGTGAAAGGAAAGTTACTGGCTATTGGTCGAACATTTTGGTGGGACGATTTGTGAATGTTGAACATCTATGACTTCTGGTTGTGGAACAAGGAAAGCGCTTTTTGAATCGGCTTCTATTACATCACCAATTATCCATGATGGACATCCAATTTCAGCAGTTAGCTCTTCACAGAAAGATTGGGCAGATTCTCGAGGAAGAACAATCAACAGACCACCTAGATTTTGGTGAAAAACTAATATTATTTTCAATAGGAGAATTAATCAAGGTTATCCATAAACATATCAAACTTAATGCTACAAATATATTATGATAGATATAAACAAAAAAAGCAAAAATAAACGGTACCTGATGTTTCTGGAGAAAAACCTTGAAGTAGTTTTAACCGATCGTTTAATGCCCTGGAAATTAACGCACTTCCTTCAAGACACGGCAAAGTATGAATGCTGAAAGCTAAGTGATTGTTTGCCTGAACTTGGACTAAATTATTTGCATGACCCAAAAGACCGAAACCTGTTACGTCAGTACACCCATGAGCGTGATGTTTGTGCATTAGTCGAGCAGCTACAATGAACAGTTATAATATAACCACTTTGAGAACACATAATTACCATTTAATTTGTTATATGTATATGATTTAGACAATTAAGAAATGTAGATATCATTACCGAGGTTTGATTTGATAATTTCGAATAATTTCATGCAGTTAGTTCCCTTTATGAATTTAAATAAAGACAGAACAAATATTGATGCAGAATAATATGAATTCATTATATTTCGTGGTTTCTCATCAGCTGCTTACAACCCCAATGCTAAAACTCTAATGCATATTTGGTTGTAAACAGCTGATGAGAAACCACGAAATATAATGAATTCATATTATTCTGCATCAATATTTGTTCTGTCTTTATTTAATTTCGAATAAATTGAGCATTGGGTAGATTGTTGTAAATAAATAATATACTTGTAATATCCCAATGAGTATAAAAATTAGATTTTATGTTTCGTGACTCAGTGTAATCCACTTCGTCAGAAAATAAATGACAACATCAAAATTAATCTAAGTTTAAATAGTACAACGGAAAAACACAAATATTAAGAAATGTTCTCATTGGCACAATGTGTAGCTCCTAAGAATTAGCAGAAGGATATCTTTGATGCATAGTAGTAGATATAAAGGAGAAGAAAGTATATCGATCCAAGTTCTAACCGTTCTCCGACAATGTAGTGAGAAAAATTAACATACAAAATACCCTGATAACAACAGTTACAGTACTGATGCCAAATCAACCACTAAGTAAAATTCACTAAGATAAGAAAAAGCTGTTTTACGAACAAAACTTATTAACCCAAGCGCTTTAATCACCTTGAATATCTTAAAGTTAGAATTATACGAAACATATAAGAAGTCATTTAGGTTGATATGCTTGGTGCTATTACGAGTTCACCTTACTCGGTAAACAGAACGAAGGTCAAAGACAGTGACACGATGGGCTATTCTAATCCGTTGCCCCCGGCCCTGCTAACTAGATCAAGAAATCTTAATGAGGCGTAGAGAATGTATTCTACAAGCATCCAGAAAATAGGTCACTGAATACACAAATCAAGCTTATTTACACAACAATGGAAACACCCTTGGGAGAGCCACAAAATAGAGTACTAAAAAAAACCGTCAACCAATGACAGTCAAGGATTTCTGAGTGGGAAATGTAAGCTGTAGGTCGACTAAGTGTCTCTTGACGCGAAAACATAAAGTTCAAAATTTCAGAATAACATTACAGAATTATGATCTTGTTCAATTGAGTTCTGAGGATCTAACGCCCTCAACAGTGATTTTATGACCAGTCATTAATAAATGCTCAGATTCTTCTCACAAATAAAATTATTTGGGTGGATCGTGGGATCGTAGAGCAACACATTAATTTAATTGACACCGAACCAAGTGTGATAAACAAAACGACTAGAGAATTCACGATTAATTACATTTAATTCACAGTGTTTACAGAAAGTAACTGACTGATGTGAAAGAAGTAGGATTCCTGTCGTATAAGACTGATTGAGATATAAGTAAGGGTCTGGGAGTGATTCTGTCACTTAGTCACTGTCAGCCAGTGGTCGTTCTAATTCATAAGATATACCTGTGATGACAACAGGTAAACCAGTTAACTATGACTGTGTCTAAAGTATTGGAGTCAATAATTATACGATGCTTTATTAAAGCTTGTGAACAGAGAATCTAGGGAAAATAATGTAGTCTTAGACCCGAACGTAAATGAGTAGATCATTTGTTCCTTTTAAAGCATAGTTCTCATGTTTAGAATTAAATTGTTTTGATATTAATTCCCAACTTAGACTTCTGATCTTATTTATTTACTCTCGCTGTGCTGATAAGGGTTGAGTCATTTTGAACTGAAGCACACTCTATGCTAAATCTCGCGATAATAATGACTAATGTGTTGTTGCCAATATTTTTTTGCAAAGGATTTGATGAGTGATGTTATGGGTGTAACATAAACAGTCGCCAAATTTCTCACCGAATAACGTAAAGTTAGAGAGGTGAAGCTCACAAAACGAGAATCCGATGACTCTGTCACTTATGCAAGTTTAGTTAGCAGAGAATGTGAACGCTTCAAGAAAAAATCGGCAGATTTGAGAAAATTGATGGAAAAAATGCTTTTTAATTGGTGACAAATGATGTGACTCAATAACATAGAGAGAGCTAACCATATCCAAAAACCAATAATCCTTATTCATATTGAATGTCTAGTGTTTGAGCATAAAGAGATGCAATTTGGTTATAATCCTACCTTAGTCACAATTATACTGGGTGCTGTTTAATTTTATTGCAACACGTATAGGATGAACAGTGATACATATTTATGAAAATGCTAGTATGACAGCACATCAATTAACATATGAGAATCAATATTTACTAGATGAAGCACACAAACCTGTTCGATTTAAATGAGTCATAGAGAGAGTAGCGGAATGAAACAAACTCTTTACTTTATCTGACGTGATGACATTGGCTAGATTTCCAGACCAAGATGGACTGTCCTCCAGCATCCAGTAGTAGACTGAAACAGCTACTTGGGTGCCCAAAGGTTTTGTGAGTACTAAAACGTCACCCACTGCAGCTTGATCCGGCCTGTTAAAATTTGATTAAAGTAGGAGATCAAATATTGACAAACCATTAAATATTAGATGAAGAGTAATGGACTACTAAACCGAATGAAGTCAAACATATAATAAATAGTAAACCATTCGTGTAGTAATAATTCAAAGTGGTACAGAAAAAGATGAAAAAAAGAACCAACAACAGGGGAAAACCAATAATCATCAAGAGCCATGTTATTGAAGGTCTCTATCGTCTCGCGGATCCCAACCAGGTAGTCTACACCTACCAAAATGACTCAGTCCAATTGTCAGTGACTTCATGGATTTGTACCACGTTTTGGTCTGGCCACCCCTAGCTTTCTTCCAACCTACTCCTATACCATGGAACACTGCACTTCCGGGTAGTCGGTGGTTGGGCATGTGTAACAGAAGTCCCAGCCATCTCAAATGATGAAGTTTCACTACTTCATCAATCGATTTGCCATCCCTACCTAGTACCCGTTTCCTAACAACCGCATTACTTACTCGGTGGTCCCAGGATATACGAGCAATACTTCGAAGACACCTATGATCGAACACTAGTAGCCTACGAATATCCTCTACTCTTACCGGCCATGTTTCACTGCCATAAAGTAGGACGGAACAAACTGCTGCACAGTAAACCCATCCTTTGGTTGCTAAACAGATATCTCGCCTACTCCATAAATGACGCAAGTTGGCGAAAGCTAGACTAGCCTTCTGTATCCGTGCTGAGATTTAGTCACACACCAGACCACAAGGGCTGATGTGACTGCCAAGATAAGTGAAGCGGTCAACATGCCCAACTACTTCACTCCCTATCATTAGTTCAGGTGCCAATGCAACCCAATCCTGAAGTAACATTTTGCACTTCGAGGGGGAGAATCGCATCCCGAACATGCCTGCATAGTTGCTTATAGTGGTCGGAAGACTCTGCATTTTGTCAGCATCTTCACCAAATAGAATTATGTCGCCGGCGTAATCTATGTCAACAAGTGAGTCTTCCGGTAAAAGTTCAACTTCTGGAGATTTAGATGATGAAAGTGTTATCTCTAAAAGCATGTCAACAACAAAGTTAAACAAGAATAGAGGAAGTGGACAGCCCCGACGAACAACATTGAGATAATCAATTCTGATGACAGTTCGTCATCAGCTCTAACTGATACGTCTTGTTGATTGAACGCTATATTCGGATCCTAAGCTAGCTTCGTAACCCCCGAGCTAGAACTATACAGCGACTTGAAGACGAGAGAAAAGGCACAAAATATGTGGGAAGCACTTTACTCCAAGGTTCGTTTTATGTACAGAAAATATAGGATTTTTATAGTATTTTAAAGTCCTTGGGTTTTTAATGAAAATTCTAGAATACTGCTAAACATAGTAGCAGTGTATTAATCAGCCAATCAGAATCTCTACATGTGATTTTTTATTTCGCTATGTTACTAACATAACTTCTAATCAACGCTGATTGGATGAAATGCTCCTTAATGTTTCATGAGCTTGTCATGTCGATTGCGAGAAATTCCCAACAAACTCAAACTAAACGTGTGCTCCAGAACGAGCAACAGCCTTCTATGAAGCCCCTCCTTCGATGGCTGATAGCGACGCGATCTGGTTAGGTCCAAAGTTGGGACGAATTCCGGGGTCGCCATGTCAAAAGATGTTTTTCCTTGTGCTTAAAGTTAGTATTTGTAAGAAACAGGCAGTTATCTGAGCATAGCCTAAACAGAAGATCGCTAATATCTGTTCTTTGAGCCACGACACCATAAAATCTATCCAGGTCTTCTTCCCTTTCACTTAATTTACTTACTTAAGCATTATAGTCACCAGCCACTATTACTACATCAGAGCGCCTAGCTTTTCGAAGGTTGGAGAGCTTTCTGTAAAACTCATTTTTCACATCATCTGAGCTGCCGTCAGTGGCAAAGTAGTCAGAAACGACGAAGAGGCAACGACAAGTAGCCCTATCTTTCCGAGTCCTTACTGTTCCGTTTAGTCGGACAGCGCACAAACGACTGTCTACTGGGATCCAGTCCAAAAGAGCTAGTTCTGCTCTAGGACTCAATGCTATACCTACACCAGTGAGGCCACGGAAAGCAGCATCAGGGCTTTCTGATACACAAATTGTATATCGAGTTGGTTCTTTATTTTGACGTGGTGGGTGTTATATCTTGTGGCCGAGTGGATGGGTAGTTGATGTGTGACTTGATGAGACCGCCAATTAGGGAGAGCGAATTCTCGATTGGAACAGTGACACGAAACCCGTACGAGCAGCCTAGAGTGCTAACCGGTCCTGCGATCTGCCTAGCCCAGCCAGTTAAGCCCAAAACACCAATAACAGCCTCAGTGGTATGAATCATTATTTACAAACATAATGGGTTTTTATACAAACCAAAGTAATCAATAAAAATATTATAACTCAAGAATCGTATGATAATAAATCAAAGATCAAAATAAAGCTCATGATAAGAGAAACACAAATATGAATCGTTTAGTTACGTAACAATTGTACAATACGCATAATACATTGGTCGATAAATAGGCCTTGGAGTTACCATTCATAATTCACCAGGGGATATAACAGTGGGTTCAAATGAATGACACTACTCGGATCTTGTATGCGCGTTTCGGAGACGCAGCACACATCGATGGTGCGAGACTCTAAAGTCCTAGCTAAAGAAGCCTGTTGTCCTACTTGGCACAATGTTCGAGAGTTAAAAGCTCCTACATGTAGTTTAGAGCATGGTTTCCGGTGACCAGGAATAACGTTCTGCGTATTCGAATCGTTTTTCTACCCTAGCGGTACGAGGTGATAAAGGGACGTGAGAAGGGTTAGTCGTGGAGATAAGAGAGTTATTAGAAGGTGTAGGAAGGATTTGAATGTGACCAACTTGGTCTCGTGTGCTGTTACGGAAATGAGGGTTAATATAACTTCCCGGCTGCCCACACCGTGGAAGGGTATTTCCTGAGGGTTCTCAAAAGGAAGTTGGATTAATGTTGGTCTTAACGACCTGGGAGCGTGACCGCAGAGCCCGAGGGACAACTGCTCGAGACCGGCCACGTACGGCCTTTTCGTGCGAGGTTTTGACGTGTTAGCTCTGTTCCTTAAAGCGCTTTACTGCCGGAGACGGAAATCCGTGAGGTAAGGCGAGGCGTGACGTTTTTAGGGTCAACCTTTTCTAACCCGTTTCTTTCTTGTGAGAAGGCAGTATCATTGTAGATGCTGGTTGTCCGAGAGAAACACCTTACTGCTGTCACATCCCTCTACAGTCAACAGTACGACTCCGCCCTCAGACCTTGAGTTACTGCTTTTAGTCTTACCGTTCTCCAATCGATCTGCCTGGCATGGTAGAACCTACAGGAACATATGTTCCAGCCAATATAGCTCAGTTGGGTCATCACGATAGGCAAGCCCGAGCACCACGTCAAGGTAGCAGCTACGGTCCAACAGTTTGCTTAATGGTGGTTTAAATCCACATTCCATAATATTAAGATAAATGTCAAGTCAATTACTATGAGATTACGTCGCGAATTTGATCGATAGAGATATCACAAAAACGAATAAAACAGCATAAAATCAATTAATACTTAGTGGTTGAGTTAGTTCCATCTGATTTTAAACACTTACTTGTATATAAACAATAAATAACACATATGACTGTATAAAGATAATTGTCAGTCGATGCATAGAAAGTCTACCATAAAAAGCCAATGTAGAAAAATTGCATGGATTATTTGTCCCTATCAAAATGAAAACAACCCACTATATATGAATCCCTTTATTCATTAAGCCTGAGATATTGATCGATACGAAATATACCGAAGTGCATTGTACTTAAACTATATACTTAATGTGTACTGAAGATAATCCATGAATAAGTTATGAGTGAAACATTTTTAAGCCACAACAAAACATCAATATTGTGATGTTTTCTTTCACAAAATCCTGAATATTTAGGCACACATACAAAACACATCCAGTGATTTAACTTTAATTCAATAATTAACTACCATGGATGAAATTCGTTCATAATTTTTAACTAATTTAGACAACCGGATAATTGAATAACTTACATAATATATTCTGAGTCGCTGCAAACTGAAGTTGCTACGCCACCAATCATCAACCATGGACTCAATACAGTTTGTCCTCCACGAACATATGTTCCAGCTTCTGATGCACAATCCTTCAAAGGACAGAAAAATTTTTGCAATATGTATAACAACGTAACCTACCTTAAAACCCTCCATCAATAAGCGATTTGATATTTCGCGTTCTTCTTGGGTCATTTCACGTGGAACACCCAACAGTAGAAGCAAATTATCACAGTCAACTACGCCCATTGCATACAAATCACTCAGTACATTACAGCACGTAATTCGACCCTGTCTTTTTAGCCTAAAAACGACATTTAACTAACCATAGTGTAAGGGTCATCAATCAGAGGATAAAAGAAGTCGGTTGTTTGGATAAGTTTCAAGTTATTTCGAATAGGAATAACACAACAGTCGAGTTCCAATGCTTTAATGTCAATAGAAATATGGTAATGAAAAGGATACTGAACAAAACCTACCCAGTAACGGTTTATTACTTGAAAGTGAACATGGTTGAGGTTGATTCAGTGCCTCGAGCAATTTTTTCAGTTCAGCTTGAGGCACTTTACAACCTCATCCTCTCAGGAATGAAAATTTAGTTAGACGAAAGTCACTCCGAAGTCCATAAGATTCAGGATTGAAAAACCCAGTCAGTTGGTGACGATCACCCGCACTCATACGTCGACGGAAATACAAAGAAACTACAACAACAAAACAAGTTGATTGAGTGTGTGATAGATGAAAGTGTTATAAACGAATCATCCGAAACACGTGAAGTGTAACAGATGCATGCAATACATAGTTATGGATTATATACGTGACACATTTCCTAAATCCTGATAACACTGATGTCAAACCATACACAAAACAATTACATGTGCGTAAAGATACTGAAAACACTACTTACGTACTCAATAACCACCCTTATAGCATGAGATAATTACCAAAGTAGGGAATGAGTTGACCAGTAAAAGAGAATCTAGTCCAACTGCAAAAATACAGACGGTAGATGGCTACTAAATCTCATATTCTTAAGGATGACTTACAAGAGCATTGAGATCAGCCGGTTTCTAAACATATTTGAATATGTCGACAATCAACTTTAGAAAATTACAGTGTAGAAAGAAAAATCAACTTTATGAGGAGTCTATCACACCCTGCATTGTTTTTTATTGGACAAGTAATTCCCAAGATGAATGCGCAACTTATTATTAGCAGGTTTCCCTGATATTCGCGATTTGTAGTCTTTATCAAGCAACAGTGACAACAATTAGCTTTGATTTTCAGAGTCAGAATATAAGAGTAGTCAAATAATGCACAGCACAAGACTAATATGAAAAGATTAGATAGGTTATTCTTTATTCTCGAAAATAATTACGCTCATTATATTCAATTTCTCTACAAGCAAATTCATATAAATTACATACCTAAAACAAAACAATGTTATTTGTTTACATTGACTTTTGGTCAATATGAATCAGACAATTTCGCTTGTGAACACTGGTTTCCAATTTCACTCTACAACATTTGTCGCACAAAAAACTATGTACTTGCAACACAAACCTGAAATATTTAGTCGCAGAAATAATTGAGCTTTATCGGAATTGGATTCACAATTATTGATTAATCTGGTACTTATCTGCACTCAGTTTTAGATAACAAGTTGTAACCATTAAACTGTCTCATACTGACTTAATTGAAAAAGGTAGATAAACATATCAAATAATAGAAACGACATCTTTGTACTAAAAACTAACATGACATTTTTCTTTACAGACAAACAACAAAACGAATAATTTATTCAAACAATCTATCGAAAAGTTTCCATTTAATGAATATGACATCCCGTGTAATTTATCAGTGAACGTGACTATATATATGAAGTGTTCCTAGAACTCAAAACGTGTCTATTAGAATTTAGGTGTTTACGGGGAGTTTAGATTTCTGTTTCAAGTAAATGTAATTAAAATGCATGATGTATTTCAACTCTTTAATTTTCGCTGTAATAATATAAAAGAAAAACAAACACAAGGAGTTTACCTGAACTAGATAGTCAGAGAAGTACACAAAGTATAAAATATTAGTTTAGTTTTAGATCAGTTATAGTGCTGCCATCGATCATTAACTACTTATCCAACAACTGCTGATCTACAAGTACTAAGGTTGTACTCCTGTTTATTAGAGACTTCGTGATGTCAAATATATACATACATCTTTTTGAAACCTTACCATTCTAAATAGTCGTTAACTGAACACGTTCACTATAGATGTAGGAGAGTAAAATATTCCATAAGTATTCTGAGAGCCAGGTATAATACTCTGTCTGAGAACGAATTCAAATTAAGAAAATCAAAAAAAGTTTTCTATAACCGTAATATGGTGCTAGGGTAATCAGTGTTAAGAAATATACACAGTCAGTGAAATCATGGTAAAGCTCCCAAATGCCCTGGTACGGTCGAGGGTGGAGAAACTCAACTCTCTCTCTCGAAATGCTCTAGCTTAGCCACGTGCATACAACCACTGCCAAGGAAGTCCTACTCACTACCTTCTCGTGACGGGAGTGTTGTTTGCGAAATTGAGAGGACGAAAAGAGAATGTCCGGCGCTTTAACTAGGTTGGTGGACCCTCTGTGTCCAGCTAGGGAGTCGGAAGACCCTGATTCCAAACAAATGATGTACATGGGCTCCAAGATCCTGAGGGAACAAATGGCATATGAATCTATTGATAGCCACCAGCTACCATTTGACTGCATCTCATAACGTTACTTCATTGCCTCGTAGATTAGAACTTTAGGTCAAAGGCTACGGGTGTGGCCCCTTAAGAAAACCATCTGCTTCGGTTTGGGCACCCGGACAATATTACGGCCCACTTACGAAACGAGTGACTTGTGTGGCGCATATGTATTTGGTGCATCTTTGTACCAATAATTATGTGTTCAAATAAATAAATAAACATGATAAAAAAAATCGTAGTCATCATTTTTTATTGAGCAAAGTGATGTTTTTGCGTCTTTAGTTTTGGAAGAACTTGAGAGTATAAACTAATTTAACACAAATGAATCCCCACCTTGCTTAAACATTTGGTTTGGGTTACGAATGGTTTGACTGGAAAATACACGATTCATATTAGCAAAGTAGGTATGGCCACGTTTTTTAAGACTGAAATTAATATCACAAAAGATTAACTAAAGGAATTTAACGTAGCGTTATAAAATAATATTTAAAGATATTGTTAGTTTTACTCGGTTCAAACGACTTCATGAACTACATAATTAGTTTTGGAAGAGAAAAAGAATGTACAAGGAAAAATCAACCGAATTCCGAGAGCGAAATGGTCTAAAAAGCCAAGAAATCAAACGTCTGAGTTTAATGTTTACTTGAAAACTTTTATATCGCAAGAACTTTAAATATGTGGAAACTGCTTGAAGAGCTTACAAGTAGAAAATATTAGTGATGATGGTTAGCTGAATGTCTGTAACCTAAACTAGTCTTTAAGTTCGTTATTTGATGTTATGCTTCTGAAATCGACAAGTTTGAAGAGGAGTTGTGTTTTAATCTGTATTAAAACTGATAGAAAGTATTTCGTCACTTAACTCTTCTGAATATTAAGGATCTGACAAAATTCTATGTTTGGTGAGCGTTTCTAGACTATACGTCTGCCTTTGACTCTATTCCAATCCCATTACTTTTAAACGAGTTTACAAGTGTCAACATCGACAGCTGGATAACCAACTGGTTGTGTTCTTACCTCTCTGGAAGACAACAATATACTGTGCTTGAAGGAGTGTTCTATATGTTTACTAACCCGAGGTGTACAACACATGTTCTTCATCATTTCTTCTTTTTTGAACGACCTTTCATCTTCCATGTAAAACACTTTCGTTAAGTATGTTGATAAACGTACTGTATACATACCAATTTTCGCCTGTTTACATTCCATTGAAACGGGTGATTTCTTGGCGTTCATTGAACAAAGTAAACAGTCTCGAACAACCAACTACTACACACAAGCTAGTCGTTTGGTAGAACGGTCCTACCGACGGTTAACAACTTCCTTTTAGTTATAAACATGTCTTAACGGACTGAGACAATTTCACTCTTTTTACTCGGAATCATTAGTGCAATGAAAACCAAGGTTGAATCTCATGTGGCTAAGCTTCTTTACGACAACTCCAAGTAGTGAGAGAACTCGCATATCTTTCATTTCCTTCACTGAATATGGAGCTATACTTTCCCCATGAACCGGATTACGAATACAGTATTTTCAGAAAAGCCTCCTCTTACCCGACCACAATGAACCGACGTCTTCATTCTAACTGATACAGTATATACATTTTTGTACGTTGTGATTCAATACACCGACCTGATGATGTGGCTCATTAAAGATTATATAAGGCTTTGAATCGTGAATTAAATCTCGATATCATTAACAAGGACGGGATGCAAAATAACAACAGCATTGACCGAGTAGAAGAGACTTACTTAGAAAAAGCCTTCTTAGTCGAAATCCTCACTACATTAGACAACACCATCAGTACAAACATTATAGCACAGCTAACAATCAGTGACGACGAGAGGACGGCAACAGTTAGGATCAGGTGTAGGAAGTGGACACGTTTCGGCTGAACCGTGAAGTTCTCAAGACATCTGAAAAATCGCTGCACGAAAGACACGTAGAAGTCTTATGTTCTTTTACTTTTATATGCCATCAAACATACCTTTATTCCAACCATCACTACCCTCTCTTTAGTTCGTACCTTGGGAAATTGTTGATGAACGCGTGGAAAGTATTGATATTAGGTTCTTTCGTTATTAACATCTATTCAAGCATAAAGCATAGCCCAGCAATTTTGAGATATAGGTTGACTAATGGGTACATAGCTAAAGCGTGTGTGTTGCAGACCATTAATACAAAAATGGTCGGTTTAACCACTATTTTATGGAAGTGAGATGACTGTAATGCAGCGTAAATTGGCTAAACTTATTTGCAATTGACGGTATCTCCCACCGGCGAGACTATAATTTATGGATGAACTAATCACACTTAAGATAACAGGTCTTTGGTTTGGCCGCGAAACTCATTCACTCATCTGGTTAAATACCATTTTAGCATTAAAGCTGATATCATTTCGTGATGAAAATATTAAATCTTATTTCTAATCGTTACACTCAACTGTAAATCCCAACGCCGATTCCACACACTATAATATATAACCTACATTTAACCCTGGTAAGTAGGTGGACGTTACAAGGTCATTTAAGCGTTGCTCAAAGGTCATCCATATATCAGTCTTACCCTCGCAGCATTGGGGAAAATTTCGAAGAAATCCCATCGAACTTTTGAGGGAACATGTCAAATGGTTTTAAGATTTTAACTGGCTTGGGGTTTCTACCAAGAACATCCACTGAATTTGGAGATAACAAAATCTTTAGCAATTAAGGACACACCCACAAATACCCCAAAGGAGACTGGGATAGTTATCCGAAAAAAATTTAGGGAACATAACGTTTGGTCACTACTAAATCATCGCTTTGTATTGATCACACTGTGAAAATGGTTGATAAATAGCCTGTCGATTCAGAAGCGCTAGCCTTCAGCTTCTAACACGTTCGCATCCAACATGAAGGGACGAGCTGGGATACCAAGTGCAGCGTTTATAAAAATTTGATAGGGCGTACAAAGGAAATAACGAATTGGTAATCCAGTGAGATCATTCACTTACATTTGATAGACGGTTCTGCCGACAGCGAAACAACACGTGACTACAAAATTACGGGCACTGCGACAAGGTCATGACAAACAAATAATGACCGTTTAAAATAAATATAATTCACAAATCCTTACTCATTGTCATACTATAAGTTATCATACTTTCGTCCATAATATAAATAAAACTCTGTCTCCGACTACCGGATCATTTTGTTAGCGGAGGTTCGAACAGTAGCATTGTCAAATCCTGGGTATTTGGTACCATTTCAATTATCATTTCCATATTTCAAGAGAGAACTTGAAGTATTTTAACAGACTGACTTCAGCACAGTGGAACAAAATCAACAGTATCAATGCCCCAACTATCCTGAAATTATCGAAATCCTGCATTCTCGGTTTGTAAGGTCAGTCAAAAGACAACTACGGTGAAAGCGAGAACACACGAGAACATGAGAATCCATGAAGGCGACTGGTTACAAACTACACTACATAATTGCGAAATGTAACACTGAAAGAGTAGCTAAGAATCTCTTTTCCACATGTGGTAAGCATTCACGATTTTGGACAGAAAGGCAAAGAATGCTATGCAGTAAAACAATAACGCCCACTAAGCACTAACAAAATTCTCTCCATCAACAGTATGCTCTGAACCTAAAAAATGTGGCTTCAAAGCGTATTTAAATCACTGGCCTTCATATCCATTGACAGATTGACACATTACCAACTAGGAACTTAGCTAATATGGTTCAAGTAGACACCTCTTGCCCATCTACAAGGCCAGTTTAAAGGAAATCAGTTTGAACTATCATTCTTTCACCATAAAGCGGAACAATTTATTTAGTGCTCTCTTCAAATACATAACTGCTTACTCTGTCTGTGTTATTTTATGTGGTTTGAAATTCCATTTGACTATTGTTGGGTCCTGCTGTTTCCCACTCTTTATTTGTCTGATGGACACACCGATTTCTTCGATCGTTGTTGGAGTGACATATATAGTAAGGTTTGTGTGCGCTTCTTCGATGCACCTCCTCCTGCTGGTTGGCTGAGATGTTTGTGGCTCTTCTAGGGTTACTACCGGTTTAAAGCCCGAATGAAGGAGGAGGGTTGGGATGATGTCAGCAACCCCACCCTTTAGAAAACAAATTCACATAAAAAACCGCAAACCAGAACAAACAAATCAAACCGTCCAAACTCTACCCTTACACTTGAAGGATCCTCTTTCAGAAGAAATATGACATCTCATCTTTTGAAGTCGGGAGGCCAATACCTCTTCCAACGACTAGAGTAACAATTATTATAGGTTATATCGTATAAAACTGAGAAAATTAATTGTGACGAATGAAATTATCTTGACCTGAATTTATCAGTTTCGGATTATCAAAAAGTTCAACTGTCCTTTCTTCAGATGTAAATCAAGGAAAACAGAAGAAATGTAGACAACTAAAAATCCTATCGTTATATGGACTTGTCTTATGTCGAGATTGTGATGGAGGTATGCTTAGAATTCTGTGGTGTAAATTTTTTGAAATATCAACCTAATTGTGTCGGACTCAAGGACATCAATGAGTTTGAAACATTGAAACCAAAACCGATGGTGTATCCAAACTTTCCATAAAGTTTTTCTGTCAATCGTCTAAGAGACATGATCACTGGAATGGGCGCAAATGTGTGATTCAACTATCAGTTGCTGTACAATCACTGAAAATTATTGTTGTGCCTATGATGTTCGATTACGTTTTCAATTCTATTTCACTTTACTTAAATGGCCGAAAGCCCTTATTTCTCAAAAGTACTTGAAGATTCTGCTGGTTATTTCTATAGCATCAGGTAGAAGAATGATGAAAGTACATTGTGCTGAAGATACG